ATACAGGTAAGGGAGGTATATGGAACTCCGAATAGCCATGATCAGGGAAAAACAAAACAACAACAACAAACCCCTCCACACCACCTAACAACTAAGATACCAGAAATCCAACATAAGAACAGAATCTTACGGGGTGCTAGAAAAAAGGAACAAAATCGTCAATAAAGGAAAAACCATCAGAATTACAACCAACTTCTCAACACAAAACTTAAAAGCAAGGAAAGCTTGGAAGGTCATGTTTGAAGCTCCAGAAAGAAAAAGAAAGAGAAAAAAAAACCTGACATCATCATCCAATACAGAAGTTTTCATAAGGAATGCAGTTCCAGGAAAGCAGGAAGAAATAAAATAGGAAAATACCAGGATAGCGGAGAAAAGCCAGTGAAGAAGTGTGTACACCAGGCCATTTGTAAGTGCACAGAGGTACACCAACTGTGTCATAAGGAGTCACTTCTGGACAGAGAAAAGGGCAACGTCATGCTGTTAACTTCTCCATTTGGTTAGTCATAGCTGTCAACCTTTCCATGTGAGGAGGAGAACCCCAGGCAAGAAATTCACATTTCAGGTGACTGATTCTGCCTGTCAGGATCCTGATGTAAACCTTATGAGCACTTATAAAAGGTCCTATGTAGCAGCTCTGAGTTCCTCCAGCTGTATCACTAGCAGCTTCCACCAAGGGACACACAACCCCTTCCTTCTAGTGGATTTCTCTCTTTTGAGGGATGTGCTTATACAGATCTGCCACTCATAAAGAAAACAAGCGTCGTTCTCTATTTCCCCAGCAGTGACATCTGTTCAGAGTTAGCTCTCATTCAGGACAAGGCTCGTTCCTTCTTGGACTTCCTGATTGTGGTCATTGACATCAGTAGGTTTCTTCCATACATCTATTCTTTCAACAACCCTAGAAAAGCTGATGTTTTGCCTACACATAGCATATTTGGGATTTTATGATCTCTGAGTTTTGCCATAGAATTACTTTGTAGGCTTCTCTAGTGCCAACCTCAATCTCCTTGTTTTTCTGTGTGATTTTCAAGAACAGATTGATATTTGGCATAACTTCTCTATGCCTCATGGAAGCAGAAAGGATTGTTCGGTGTTGGCATTGATGAGGAGACATAGTCACTAAGACTTGCATAGAGATGATGAAAGTTGTGTACTTCTTTTCTGGAATATGTAATGAGCACTTTTAACATAGTTGTAATGCTAGACCTCCTCATTCTGTTCTGCAGTGATTAATTTGAGTGCCAGTTTGACCAAGTGTACTTCTGGGTGTATGTGAGAATATTTCCAGGGAGGGCTGGTGTGCAGGTCAAAAAAATGGAGTGAAGAAAATCCCATGAAGGTACTTAGTAAAACAGGCAGGAGTGGGAAGCCAGCTCTTGCTCAAGCTCTCAATTCCTGAGCAGGTGGGTTTATGCTGCTATCATCTGTAGTCATCAAACTCCAGTTCCTTCAGCCTTTGAGAGCAGGTTTCTACCAGTACTACTCCAGGGGCTTTGCCTCAAACTGGGACTGCAGCACTGGTCCAGAATGAGGAGCTACCAGTTTTTTTCAAACTGTAGATGACCCATGTGGGACTTTTTATCCTCTGCGACTATGTAAAATAATCTAATAATTATGATAATACAATAATAAGAGTATGTATTATATTGATTCTGCTTTTCTGGAGAACCCTGATGAATACACTCTCCTAAGAAATTTTCCTATTAGGCCATTATGCTTCCCAGTGGACTAGCCAAAGTAAAAGTTACTTTGAAAGAAATATCCTAATTTTCAGAAATATGGACAAGATTTATTCAAAAATATATTCATAGAAGCCGGGCGTGGTGGTGCATGCCTGTAATTCCAGCACTCGGGAGGATGAGGCAGGAGGATAGCTGTGAGTTCAAGACCAGCCTCCACTACATAGTGAGTTCCAGGTCAGTCTCAAGTACATAGTGAGACCCTGTCTCAAAAAACAAAAGAAAACAAAACAAAACAAAACAAAACAAAAAAATATATATATATATATATTCATAGAAGTACTATATTTAATATCAAAAATCATGAAAATTCATGATAGATTATGATACATTTTAATTGATTCAATGCATATGCATTAAAGTATGTTTATTTATGTAGCACTACAGGGCAACCTCACAATTTGCTGTTAAACAAGAAACCACAAGGCAATCTTTTTTCTATAAGTCATGCAAAATAATCCTGGAAAGAATCATGTAATAACTTGTCTCTTAGTAATCATGTAACTAGTGATATTTTCACCACTGACCACTTCCCTATTGTTCTTTCTATAATGAGCACATATTAGTTTGATAAACAGAAAGTAAGAAATACTATTAAAAGCATGAAGGTTGGAAATAGTGGCACAGGCCTATAATCCCAGCATTCAAGAACCTGTGCATTTGACCCCAAACTGGGCTAATAATGAGTTCAAGGCCAGCCTGGAATACATAGGTAACAAGACTCTGTCTCATAAAACAAGCAAACAAATAAAAAATTAGAAGCAAGAAAACCTAAAAATGGTGACTCAGAGCCATTCAAGCCTTTGAATATCATCCTAGCTAAAATAAAAAGGAAGGGCGCTTCAAGTGAGAGGGTGCACATTTGAGATCCCTATTATTTTATAAGATACCCAAACTCTGCTTTATAAATACATTTCTTCTCAGGAAATTAGAAAAAACAAAATCACGATGAACACTACAAGTGAGATACGGTTAGCTCAAACAGCATGGACCCAAGGTCTCTTCATGGGAGAGATTATTGCGCTTCCCAGTCGATGAGCCAAAATAAAAGCTTCTTTGGAGGAAACAGCCTGTACAAATTCTGTCTTTCTGGGCCCTTGTTACAGTAGTAGCAGCTAGAGTCAGTGGAGAACAAATTACACTTGATTACACGCTTTCACCATGCAAATTCAGACAGACTCCGGTGACTTCCGGTTCCACCTGGCCTACATTTTCACCCTCCCTCACTTCAGACAGGAATAGCCCTCACTGGCCACTACGAAATAATCGTTCAAAACATCCCTGTTATTGAGCATCCGACAAAGGAAGCTGTGCCAGTTCACCTCAGTTGTCAGCCTGACTAGATTGAGAGACTCCTGGAGAACTGATGGGCTCGTGTAGGCACGTCACACTTCTGTGGATTCACCCACTGCTGTTGTCGGCTGAACGCTCTGTCAGGAGGTGGGTCGCTGGTGGTGTGACCATGGAGACTACCTCTATATAGCTCTCTGTCTGTGGTTCTCTTCCCAGCTGCCATGAACTGAGCAGCTTTCCCCTGCCTGACATTCCTACCTTGGAGCCTGTGGACCATGAACTGAAACCATGACCCAAATTACCTTCTCGTCCCTTAAATTATGGGTGTCACGTATTTGGTCCCAGCATTGGGAAAGCGGACCGATACAGATACCAAAACTAAAAACTCCATAGATCACGGGCCGGGGATTTAGCTTAGTGGTTCTGCTGCCTGCCTTGCAAGCACAAGGACCTGAGTTCAATCCCCAGTACCAAAAAAAACTCCATAGATCAAAGAGAACTCATCAAAGAAAAATACAAAGCACATGAGACTTTTTCTTATGACTTCTGCTGACGTACTAGAGGAAATTCCTGTTTAAATTTCTTCTATCTTCCAGGCATTATTTCAAGAAAATTCCCCTGCCAAAACTTATCTGCCCCAGAACTCCAGAACTAATCACTGTAGGATATTGTGAAATAATGGATATTCATTTTCATCAGTATGTCAGGGTCACAGGACAATTCAGAGTCAAATTGCTGTCACCGAAAGTCCACCTCCAAAAGGCTATCCTGAGGGCCAGGGATTTAGCTCAGTGGTTCCGGTGCAAGGACCCGAGTTCAATTCCTGGTACCACCCCCCCAAATGCTATCCTGCATCAGCTCTGTGCTTTCAGTGTAGCAACTTCCAGTGCATGGGTACCCTACCCAAAAGACTGCCAGACAATGCGTTGTTAAGTTAGAGAATTCTCAGTAAAATTTCTAGGAAATAGAATTGTTTGCAAGGAAATCTGTGGAGTCAAAGGTTAAGTTTTGGCATATAGGTAACTACTGACTAAGAGTATGTTACTCATATTTTTTTCTTTTATTTTTTATTTCCTTTAATATTTGCCTGTGCCAAAAATGACTCAGCAAGAGTGGAACTACCCGTTCTTTCTCAGGCTTCTTGTGAAGAGTTTCCGTTTCTGTAAAACGCCCATTGCTTTCTGCACTGTTAATCTCTATATATAGCCTACAAAATTCTGAAGGAGTTACACAGAAACTGAAAGTAGAGATGAAATGCATCCAAATTCCAATAAGAATCCCGGTGCTTGGATTTCCATTTTGTGACTTTATTTTGTTTACTTCTTGAGTCTGAACTTCATCTTACATTGTTCTCAAACATTTTTTTCAGAAAATATGATTAGTCATTCAATGATCTAATTTACATGTTTTTTTCCTCTAGCGACCTTGCATCTGCAAACTAATTCAGAAGTTGGGTAATTGAATTGCATTTGCTCTATAATTTGAAGCAAACCATTCCTTCAAAATTAGCCTACTATTGTGGAAGAAAATGAGAGGCCGAAGTTCATCTTATATGCCTAGAACTGGCAAAATAACACCCACAGACCAAATCTCACCTGCCAGTTGTTTTTGAAATAAGCTCCTGGGGGACCACCCTATGTATCCACAAAGCCAGCTGCTTTCCAGAGACAGTGAGGAGTTGACTAGCTGTGTCAGAAATTATTTGGACTGTAAAGCCTAAAATATTTCCTATCTGACTCTTTTAAGAAAAAAAACAAAACAACAATTTGCTTCCCTCTCATATCCTCTGTCCTCAGAAAATTATTTAAACACCCTATGATGAATAGCATTTTTTTTTCAACCACAATGTCCTTTTCTTAGAACTCCGAGCATGTGTAACTTTACCTGGCTGGCCACATCTTACTTCTCATTATATCTGTCATGTAAAAGTATCAACATGGTGTGGTGCCATTTGAAAACATGGCTTACATGACTTCCGGTAGGCTGGCTGTCTGCGGACATGGGCTTCTGGGCACTGTGTGAGGTCACCAGCGTAGGACTCGATGGAATACTGCCACAGAGAGCCAAGCGGTCGTACACCCAGCTGGATTCTGCAGGAGGCAAAGACAAGGATAAAAACATCAACATCGGGCACTGAATAATCCACTTGTCCTTAGCTGTCCAGCTAACTACATACCTCATCAGGCCATAAAGGAAGAGAAAGCTTCAAAAGCCAAGACTGAAATTTTTGTGTGAATCTTTCCTACAATCTTCAGAGTTTTCCAAACTGTATCTATATTGAGCATCCACAGTAATTCTTCACACGGTTCCCTAGCCAAATGTGTTTCATTTTTACCACAAAATAACACAGAGCAAATCTCCACTCATATACTTAGCATCAGAGAGTAAAATTATAGATACTTTCAGGCTGTAAAGTATATGTGATTTTGAGGGGATTAATGTATGTCAATGCATTATAAAATTTAAAAAAATCTTAAAATGGTATACCTCCTATTTCTTAAAAAAGGTAATCTAACTTATCCCTTTATAAAAAATAAAGTAGTGGGCCCAGGATCTAACTTGGTGGTGCAGTGCCTGACTGGTAAGCGTGAGGCTCTGAGTTCAATTCCCAGTACCAAAAAGGGAAAAAATGCTAAATAAATAGAGAAATAATATTACCTTCATTTTAGAAAATAAATTAAGAAATAGCCAGATTTTGGGATGTCCCATAATATTAAGGAACTTATATTAATAGTAATAATTTGTCTTAGATAATCTTGGTTCTGATCACCACGGAAGTAAAACTTCATGCAATTTTAAACAACAACAAAAAGGCTTCACCATTCTGTCTGGACATCTATCATATGGGATCATCCTACATTATTTATTTTCAAAATATTCAGTCAAAACTTATGGTATGTAAGAGCTGCTTTTAACTGTTAAGAAACTCACCTACTACTGGAGAAAAACCCGCCAACAGCTAAATCCGGCTCTTGAGTGTTTCAAAAGGAGAATGAAGAAAGCTCCGAGAATGAAGCCAGTGTGAGGGATTAATTCCATGGGGATGAGGAAGATGAAGGACTTGGAAAGACTTCAGTAACGAATTGACAGAAGAAAGGAACACTGCTTGCAGAGGCTCAAAATTCGAGTGAGTGGGGTGGGATGATATTTTAAGAGACTTTTGAATGTGACTTTACTCTTAACCTAGAATTAGTGAGTAGAACTCAATGTTAAAATAAAGAAGCATTACATTGAAGAAAATTCTACAGAGAGTTCTGTAACTGGGTTGAGACATCTACTCCAAGGCTGCCTCAGAGGGAAAAATAAACCTTTCTACTTCTACTATCTCCCCACTCATCTACTCTAAGGCCTCATCTTCATCCATAAATAAGTGACTCTAAAACACGGGGGAGAGGAGAGAGAGGCAATGACTGCAAGGGCACCACCAGTCAAGGGCACGGTGGGACCGTGAGGAATTGTCTCATGGATGGAACTGTGCCCCCTACCCAAAGCCACCTTCATACGGCTAATCCCTAATCTCCGGTGCAATTGTCTTTGGCGATGACACTTCATGAAAGTAACTCTGCTTAGATGAGGTCATGGGAGTGAGACCCCATAATGGAATTCGTGCTCTTATAAGAAGAGAAACCCAGGAGCTAACTTGTAGCTTCTGCTTTCCTCTCCTCCTCCCTCCTCTCCCCTCCTCTCTGCTCTTCTCTTCTCCCTCTTTTCCTGGCATGTGAGGACACGGCAAGAAGGAGCCATCTGCAAGGCAGGAAGAGAGCCCTCATCGGAAACCAAATCAGCTACCGTCTTGAGCTGGACTTCCCAGCCTCCAGAACTATGGGAAGTAAATTCTCATTGTTTACGCCACTTGTTGTATTGTAATTTGTTATGGTAGCCCCAGCTGTCTAATATAGATTGTTATTAGCCTGTCTGGATATCACATCAGCAAGGATAGTTAATCAGCCCTCAAACCTAAGTGTCCAGAGATTAAAAGAGAACTGAGAGAAGTGTAGACTTTGTTTCCAGCATTTGACCCAGAAAAGCTGTGTGGATTTCTCCCAAATTAAAGTTGCTTCTTTATAAGGCAACTAGATTTGGTGGTCTATAGGACCAGGGGAAGGAACTGAGTCAGCAGGAAGAGGTTCAGCTTAACATCCACAGTGGATCAGTGTGGAAGCTACTGCAGGTGTGCAGAAGATCTCACACACATGTCCTGAAGGAGACTCCAACCTCGGAAGCCTCCCCCACAAAGGCAGCAATGAATGTTGGCCTAGTTAAACCAAGACATAACTGGGCCTTTTACTCTAAGCCACCCTCTCAGTCGCCAACCTCCAGGAGAAGGACAGAAGGCAAGCAAAGAAGAACACATTCTGTCCCTCCTTTTGATCACATGGGTTCTCACCTAAGTTGGAAGAACATATGGAAAAGAGGCTAGACTATGAAATGCATCAGTCTGCAGTATCTGCCGGACACCTCACTGCCTGATACAAAATTCCGCACGTGCTCGAGTCACATGCAACAGAATAGTGATGGGATATCACCTACACACATCCTTTAAACCACCTCTAGAACATTTATCATATCCAATACAACATGAATGCGATGTACATAGTTGTCACATTGTATTGTTCAAGGAATGTGCTCCTGGAAAAAGTCTACATTCGTTCAGTACAAATACAACTGTCATGGTCCTAACTCTCTTGTTTTCTCCCATTGACTGACAATCTTTCTTGGTTCACTGCCTCCCAAACTCACTTTTTAAAAATTTACATATTCATGTATTGAATACATTCAATAAACATAAACAATGATATAATGAGTAAGGGAAATATAAACATTATGAGGATTTTATATTTTTTTAAAAAGTAAATTCTTGTTAATTAAGAAGAAAATTCTGTTAGTTTTCCAAAATATAGAACTGGTTTCCAACCAAACAATGTCATAGAATTAAGCACAATGGTTAATGAGGCAAAATTCACACAGAAGGTGAGGTATAAGATTACATTGTAAAAAAGGACTAAGAGGTAAAATAGAGAATGTGAAATAGGAAGAAAAGGTGCACAGGGGAAGGGGAAGTGAGGGATGAGGAAAAGAAAGAAGGGAATGGAATGAATATGAGAAAAAGTAAAAACAGAAACAAAGTCTTTGTAGATTGGGAAGGGTGGAGGGGTTGAAGGGAGGGCAGGGGAATGAGGCAAAAATAAGAGCCAAGATGGATTATTAAAGGTGCAGATTTCCCATGATGAATGGCATTATCTTGTATACCTAAAATGTACTAATAAAATTAATTTTTAAAAAAGATTACAGTACTCTGTTAGGTCCTGGGATGAACTTCATTTTGACAATCTCTTATCTGATCCATTTATATTATGCTGTATAATCAAAAGAGTAAGCACAAGCTTTATGAAGATTTGTGTTGATCAAAAGCACTAAGGCTTTTGAGAAAAAGTTTTTGTTCAGTGTGAAAGTTGACCTTAGACACAGCCATCAGTCTTACAATTTTGTTCTCTTTTGCACTCTCCTCTGCATTATGTTCGTGTAACAGTCAAACCCTTAATCCTAATTTTACTGTGCACTTCATTATCTCTAAGGTCCTCTTCAGATTTCCCTCTTACTAGTCTTCTAGTTAGCAATATTTTAAAAGTATCCAGAGCCGGCTGTCAAACACAGTAGGCATTAACTCTACATGGCTATTTAAATTTACAAGTAAATTAAGATAAATTAAAACTAGACATTCACTTCCTTAATTGAACCCGCCACGTTTCCAGGACTGACAAGCCACGTGGAACATGGCTACCACACTGGGACATTGCAGGGATAGAACATTGTCATCAGTGCTACAAGTTCTACTGGACAGCAAGGATGAAGATGATGGAGTACAAAAACTTATTTTCAGACAGATCTAGATTTGTTATGTGGCTTAGCAACTAACAGTAAGATTTAAGGCAAGGTAATTAGCTTGTCAGGACCTCAGTCTTTTTCATCTGTAGAATGGGGAAAATGGTACCCACCTCATAGGGTTATGGTGAAGGTAACTGAGCTCTTTCATATAAATGGCATAGGACAGACCTTACCATACAGGGAGTTCTCAAAAATACTGGCTCCTTAGGAGCATTTATCCCCATTGTAAAAATTACACTTCACCATAAGTGGTCACATCATTCCTCACATTCTGGCTACACTTCCTCTCCTATAGCACTGGCAACAGAATAATTTGTCATTGCATCCACAAAGCCTAGCTCAGTGTCATTATAAAGTGTCAATTTGCAATGAATGAAGCTCACACTAATTCCTTCTTAAGGAAAGTCTTACTATAAGAAAAATGTCAGGCGAACCAAATGTGTGTTAGTGATTTGATTGACAGGCTGATGCAAGTTCTTTGCCAAGTCAAAGACTAGGAACAAACATTTCTATATCTTGGATTGCAATGGTCTAGTTGGGAAGACAAACTCTGGTAGGGTTTCAAATTCTCTCTCTCTCACACACACACATAAAATGGCTGCAAAACTTAGTCCAGAAAGGGAAAATCCTAGTAAAGCAGAAATAGGGGGGGCAGAAATAAGCTGGAACAATCAAGGTGAGGTTTTTATAGCTGGTAAATTTTGAGCTGAGCTTTGAACTGCATTGGAAGAGCAGTAACTGGAGAAGAGTGATGAAGAACCAAGAAAAAGGGAAAAGAAAGAGGAAGGTAAAAGCCTTATAGATTCAGTTCTTCAAGAATATAGAAAAATTTTCTTCATTCCATAGGCGATGCCATATTGTGTTTACTCCTAGCTTCCAGAAACAATAAACTAGACAGGCTTGAATTTAACAATGGCTAGTTTTAGCCTCTCTGTTCTACCCACACAATAGATTTATGAATAGAAATTATTGCATATAATATTAAACTGTAAAAATACATGTGGGGAGCTATTCTGATGGTCTGCTGAACTTCAAGCATTTGCAGTTAAAGATAAATGAGCCCCAAATCCCCCAAAAGTGCCCAGGTATGCATTTAAAGTGAATGTTCTTCTTTTGAACTCTTCAGGTATTTACATTAAAAAAATCCACATAAAATTATTCTTTATCATAAAAATCAGCCAATCATTACTAAACAATTTTCCAG